ATCTTCCAAGTGAGTGACCCTCCTTCCAAGATAAGCACTGCCAGTCAAATACTGCCCTCTGCCACCTCTCGAAAATCGCCTTGTGTACAACGTGACGCCCGTATTAGTGTTAGTGCTAGAAGATGGCAGAGTCAACACCGGAGCTTGAACTGGGACAATAGCGATGCTAGTGGATGGAGGCGGTCCATTAAGACAATGAGGTAGATGACAAAATCTAAAAATATGCCCTGGTTGCCCACAATTATAGAAGTTGCTAGGAAATGACCCATTATGAATCTCGTTAGAAGCTATAGCTAGTTGTCAGATGAATGCTGCCCGAAATCTCGAAGTCACTCAACCGTAGTCCTGCTTCTACGTTGGTTACTCTGTTGTGAAAGTGCGCTTACTCAGTAAAGCATCAAGACATTCATGAGATAACAACCAAACTTCAACATGAGACTAGACATGTCACGAGTCTAAGAGAGATTAAAAGGAAGAAAGGTTAGGATGAAGAAGAGATACAATTAAGCCGATGAGACCAGACATGTGATGAGTCCGAGAGAGAGTTGAAGGAAGAAAGGTTAGGATGACAAAAAGACACAAGATTAAGCTGAAAAAAAAAACGAACGCGACGAACGCGACTTGCTCGTAAAGATAATACATCAAGCATCAACTATGGCGAAAGTATAAAAACTCACGCCTGGCGAAACGACCCTATCGGTTTCACCTGGCCGCCAACCAGGATCATCAGGGGCCGTAGAAATCAGTATGTCCTACCGTGTAATCATTACTTAAATCTTGTAGGAATACTAGGGACGTTTACTGAGGGTCAAACCGAAGCGCCTATACCACGCCAGTGCCCTACTCACTAACTGCACTTCCAAAAACTTTGCCACGTTCGGAACCAAGTCAACACAGTCCTAAAAACGGAAGTCATGAGTTCCAAGCCCGAACCAACACTTGTTACCAAATTCCGCTAAGAAATCGAAGGTATCCCCGCTTCCAATGAAGTAGTTAAGATACAACCAGAAAAAACAGCATCGCACTCCGTCCCAAGGCTCAATCTCCACAACAAATGAAAAAAAGCAGGTATAAACCTTAATACTACCGGTGATGCCGCAGGCTCAAGTCCGCTTACGAAACAAAAAGGAAAAAGAAGAAAAAAAGAAGAAAAAAAAAAACGAAAAAAAAAGTAAGAAAAAAAGAAAGAAAAAAGAAAGAAAAAAAAGAGAAAAATTGTTATAGGCCACATAGAGGGGGGGGGGAGGAACATGGTGGAAGCATGGGGAGCTGGAGGCGGAGAAGTGCGGAAGGGAGTCTGGATAGGGGGCAGAGACAGACTGCAAGCAGGCGCACCCTTTGCCTGAAAGGTTAATATCGAAGTGGCAAAGGCTATCCTGTACCTGTGCACAACAAGACAAACAGTTCTGGCAATAGCGAATGGAGTGTCCAAGCACTCGTGTGTTTGGCGGGACTAACTCGACACGCTCCAAAAAGACCACTTGCCCCAAAGACCGTCCGTACAGTTGTTTGGCTGGCTGTTTTCTTCATCGACGAATTTCGGCAAGTACCTATCGAAAAAGCAAAAAAATTGAAAAGTCATTTGAGACAACCTCCAGAGGTGGTCGTAAATTGGGTCCTCCCACGGCCTTGCAGACCGCTGACAATTGGGTAACCAAAAAGTACAATAGAGTAGCGGGTGGACCCAGTGTGGTGACCCAAAACCAACCTCTAATTTTGAGACTTTAGTTTTTTCGGTCCCCCCGTGAGAGCCTACTCACGCTACCAAAAGGCCTTTTATGGAAAAATAGCTAAAATTTGATGGTTGGGTCAGTAACACATACCAAAAGACCTTTTATGGCAAAATTGCTAAAATTTGATGGTTGGGTCAGTCACACGAGTCAGGGAAGTGGCAAATGCAGCAGAAGGGGTATCAAATGTCAGGGGCCTGGCGGGCCGCAGGGAAGGGCATTTTGCTACCACCTCTAGAGGTGGTAGCAAATTCTTTTTCCAGCTTGAGAGTTCATGAAAGGAAATTCGAAACGAAAGGGCAGATCCCACTTCTTTCCGTTTTCGTAAGAACTTAAAAGTTCCACTTTTAGTCGACCCACCCTGACCGGTTCGTGAAAGGAAAATGGGATCAGACATGTCGTATGATCCCGGGACTTTTTCGAGGGAATCGGGGGGTTGTTGTGAGTGGGTTACTGCCATCCCTGATAGAACGCATCTGAAGGGCTGTTTGACCAAGGACCCAGAACTGCGGGTGCCGCCTTCTTTTTCGGTACAAGCATAGGGTTGAGGCTGGCATATCAGTTCCTTAGTACGGGATGTCGGGGGTGTCAGGAGATACTGCACCTTACCGCGGGGCCAGAACGGGCTCCAGGGATATACGAGGGAACGTAGGATCACCAGCTCTCTACCATCAACACAATAGGAGTAATACAACGTAACACTGTGCACCCTCATGAAGACCTGTAGTAGCATGTTCATAGCTAGCTCCCAAAGTCCCCGTGCAATCGGG